AATGGAAGGGTTTCAAGAAAGAAGAAATGATCCACATTATCAGAGGATCCTTGGATCCTCTGATGAAAAAAATTTTTAAAAGTCTATTGGTTGTGACCAAAAGGAAGTCACTGGGGCTTTGGCAAGAATGGGTTCATGGATTGAGGAAGAGCTGTTCAGGCAGAAGTCAGAGTACAGAGGACTCAAGGGAGTGGAAAGGAAGGATGTAATCAGAAAGAATCAGCTAGACTTGACTATGAAGAGAGAAAAAAGGCAGAAGTTGGAAGGCTTAAAGTAGGATGTTCATTTTCATTTTGTGAGAATCAAAAGTGGCTGATCTGCTAAAGAAGAGGAGATAGACCCTGGAAGGCAGTGGGATCCACAGCAGAAGCAAATTTTTGCTGTTTTGTCTGTCTGCTTTTCTTTATTTCCTCCTCCTCCTCCTCCTTTTAGTGTGTGTGCACATGCGTGTGCGTGTACGTGTGCATGTGTGTGTGTGTGTGTGTGTGTGTGTGTGTGTGTTTGGTTTTTAGTCATTACGTTGTTGCCACAGAAGAGGAGGATGAAAAGACGAGTGTCTCTAGAAGGTGATCTGGGGCCAGGCAAGCCCAGGGCATGCCAGCCTTAGGGTTTCTTTTTCTTCTCATTAATGGGGACTTGGGTCTTCTCTTAAGCTTGGTGGGGCAGGTAAGGGTGGGAGGCCTGAGATGGTCAAGGTTTGATGACATTGTTGTGGGAGAGAAGAAGATGTTGGCTGGGGTAATGGATAAAAGAGTAGGTGGGAGCTAGGAGTGCTATGAAGGCCCCATGAGAATGAAGACCATAAGTTTACAGACGCAGAGGGGAAAAGGAAGATAGCTGGATCACACTAAGGTTGAGATTTTGCAGGCAGAGGAGATGGAAGGAAAAGTATTAAATGCCACGCTCTTACTTAAACAAACTTTGGAAACTTTACAAAGCCTGCAAAATAGAATCCTCTTTTGCCCTGATACTCAGTCCTTCCATAACTCAGTTTATGTTTTACCCCCATCTTCTTTCACTCCCCTTGGCACCAACCCTATTCATGCTATCCTCCTCCATTCATCCTGCTATTTCTCTAGGTTCTGTTGGAATTCCAATTTCTGAGCTTTGGCCTCCTTCTGATTAGAGCATCTGTCTAATCCTCCAAGGTTAATGCAAATTCCATTTACCCTAGGAAGCCTCCCACCTTCCCAAGCCAGCATTCCTCTCTCATCATCCCCTAGAATTGCCCATCACATTTTCTCAATCCCTCTTATTGGGGAAGTTGCCTCACCTTCCAGCAGTGCAGAAGCAGCAAGCCCTGAGGCACAAATGGCTGGATTTGAGTAACCAATTAGATATTCTTTCCCAGCACTTGAGATTGAGCTAGCAGGTCACATGGGGTACTGGGGACGTGGGACCATCTAGATTTGGGTGCAGAGCTGGTGCCTTCCAAGTTGCCTGCATGCGGAGGCCATAGGGGAGCAGAAATCAAGAGCCATATAGAATAACACAGCATATCTGCAGAGAGCTGTGAGCACACGCTATTGGGTGGGGGTGGGGACAGGTGGAGAGAGAGAGAGAGAGAGAGAGAGAGAGAGAGAGAGAGAGAGAGAGAGAGAACCATTCCAGGGTTTCTGTGATGCCCCAGCTGAACATCTTGCAGTGGAGTTCCTGGAGATATTCCAGTATCCTTAACATGAATCCAATTTCAGTTAAGTTATCCTGAGGCAGTTTCTGTTCCTTATAGTCAACTGTCTCTCCCCATGAACCAGAAGGCTCTGCTAGTACAATAACTATCTCTTATCATCAGAGTTATGCTGGTGTGTTTGCTTGCACCTGGCAAGCAAACAGGGGCCTGGCACCCCTGAGGGCAAGAACTTGATCCTGTTCATCCAGCACCTCTAGTGCCTGATACATGTTGGATGCTCAGAAAATAGTTGTTGGATTTATATCCTCAGAGTTGATAGGATGAGTTGATGGATCATTTGTTAGCAAACACTCTAAACTTCTCTATGCTTACCTCCATGTTGCTACATTTGCATTATTTTATATGGTTTTAATCAAATCAGCTTTTCATGTACTCACAAACTTCCCACACTCATATGCTTTGGCTTTCTCCTATTTGGTGGGTACCAGGAAGGAGTAAGGGCTTAGCAGCACTAGAGGCACAAGTTTCTCTCTGGTTGGTGGGATTTTGAGTCCTAGACAAAACCTGTCTTTCAGTATTCAACTGTCTTTGCCTTTGAAATGCATACTTCCTGTGAAGGCTGATGGGGCAGCTTAATTTCAATGATGTCATTTAAAGCACATTAAAAAGCAGTAGAACTCCTTTCTTCAGAAACCTACTCAGAATCATAGATTTTCAGAGCCAAGGCCAGTGGCTCTCAGTCTTTAGAATTACTATGAACCAGCATGAATATTTAAAAAGAAAAAAGGGTTGCTGAATTTATATTCTTCCAACGAATAACACTAAAAACACTAAACTTCTGTTAACACAACATCATTTCATAAAATAAAGTGTATGTTAACACCAAAATTATCATGCTCATTACCACCTAATTTAAATATCAAATACTTTTGACTGTATAAAAACTCATTAACATTTTGATTTTCCAATATTTTTAAAAATAGGTAAGTATTTTTAAATTATGAAGTGCTTAACATTGTGCCTGGTACAAGTTAATTCTCTGAATTCTGAGAATTGGTGCTCAATAAATGTTAACCATTTTTAACACAAGGGAATATATTTTTCTTCTATCTTCCCCCAGAGGTTTGCTGTTTAGCATGGGACAAGTGTTGCTGAGGAACTGAATGACTGAATAATGGATTGAGAAGATTTGGGTACCCAGAAGTATTCTAAGGAGTAAGGCAGAAGATGGGGGAAGGGAAGGAGTCTACAGGATGGAGTGTGAGATTGAGGACTGTGAAGACTACCACCTTATCTTGTGGGTAGGTAGGTGAAGGGTACATTAAGATCCAGGAAGAGTAAACATACAGTCTGAGGTTTTTATGTCACTGATGTGAAATATTCCTTCTCCCCACTTCACCTCTGGTTTCTGTAACATTTACTACAATGGTGCATGTTATGGTTTAGATGTGGTGTCCCCCAAAAGCTCATGTGTGAGACAATGCAAGGAGAGATGACTGGATTATAGTCTTGGCATGATCAGTGAATTGGTCCCTGATGGGATTGACTGAGTAGTAACTGGAGGCAGATGTGGTGTGGCTAGAGGAACTAGTCCATTGGGGGCATGGCTATGGGGTATATATTTTGTGTCTGGAGAGTGGAGTCTCTCTGCTTTCTGATCACCATGTGAGCTGGTTCTCTCTGCCACTCTCTTCAGCCATGATGTCCTGCCTCATCTCAAGCCCTGAGGAATGGAGCCTGCAGTCTCTGGATAGAGACCTCTGAAACCACAAGCCCTTAAATAAACTTTTCCTCCCTTAAAATTGTTCAGGTCAGGTCTTTTAGTCCCAGCAGCAAAGAAGCTGGCTAAACCAGTGCATGAGTGTTATTCATAAGGTTTCAGAAATTGAGAAAAGGTGTACATTTCTGAGACAGCATCCCAGAAGCAGAGGGTGATGATGAGAACAGAAGTTGCTTGACCTTCCAGAAATCTCAGCAAGGTTTTGAGCCTTGTTTCTGAGCAGAGACCTGACTTATATCTTCCTAGTAATAGTCATTCTGGTCTCTGACTTGGGCATGAATATGTAAGGTGAGATCAGACTGGTTCCAAAGTTCTGTACTTGCCCTAGTAGGGTCAGAACTCTGATTTTGTCCTAGAATCACCCAGAGTCAAAGAGAATTCTTGGCCTGAAGATTTTTAAGGGTTAGAGAGGAGTGCTCCTCTGGTGCCTTAGGGGCAGCTGCATAGAATATGTATAGAATATCTGGCTTCTTTTAGGATTAGAAGTGTTGTGGTGTCCACGTGGATRGAGGGACCTAAACTTTTATGAGGCAACAACTTAGAGATCAAAGGAAAAACACTGGTTACTAAGCAATCTGGCTTCATGTGATTGAGATGCTGCCCGGGACAAAATTCTGTTTTCCCTAACATCCCTCCCCCAACTCTCTCTTCTGGTGCACCAGGGAACAGATCAGCCCTCTTAAAACTCTAGCAATCTTGGTGTTAWGGTACAGAGTGATGACCAAAAACTTAGGGTTTCATGTTGGATAAACCAGGATCCCATGCCACTTCCTTAGACTCTATGTCAATTCGCATCGGTAAAATGGGTGAAGGCTCTCACTAACTGCATGGCCTAAATGGGGTAATACATATAGGGGTTCAACAAGAACCTGACAAGTCACTAATTCGTCTTCCAATCACCTGGCAGATTCATTTCGGTCATCCTCCGGTCAGCTCTATTTAAACTTCCTTTGGAGGGAAAGTTAGTCCTTTGCCTTTGCCTCTTCTTCCCAGGTCCCACGCTCCGCGGACGCAGGGCGACTGCTGGTCGGATTGCTGGCCAGCGATGGCGGTCTCTGAGACAATCGGTCTTCTTTAGTCAGTTTGGGCAGTGTCCGAGTGGCCTGCTCGGGACTTCTGCAGTTGGGCTTTGCAGGGAAAGCCACAGCCGCCACCGGCTCAGCTGTCGGCGCGGGGAGAGGCGTGCGGCAGCAAGTGGAAGAACCACACTGCGGGAAGATCGACGCTGCTGCAGAGGTGGCAGGGCCAGTGGCCAGCGGAGGGGGATGGGCGCGTTAGACGATAACTGAGTGACCGGACAAGCCATCTCCGCCGGACCTCGCAGCCTCTAACCCGTGCCCTCAGTTATCCTCTCAGATGCTGACCGCGACTCCTGAAGTGACAGCCACGTGGATCKCGGCGCGCGAGGCGGGGAATGGAATGTGGGCGTGGGGGCGGGGCTGGAAAGGGGCCCGAGAGGTGAAGTACCCGCGTCCGCGCGCCCTGACGCCGACTGCCAGGCGACGCTTCCGGGAGCGAGCACGCTTGACGTCACTCGCCGCTCGCCCAATGAGCGGAGGCTTGGGGGAGGCGCCGTCCCCGCCTCCTCCCGCCCTCGCCCCGCCGCCGCCGCCGCCGCCGCGGTCGCACCGGCCGCCCCCGGAGAGTCTGAGGAGGCGCGGGCCGCTGCAGGCTCAGGCGCCGCAGCGCGCGGGCCCAAGTCCCGGACGAGGCCCAGGGAGCCGCTCGCCCCGACCCCGCCGCCCCATGCCCTCAAGATGGAGGCAGCGGGGGCGGTGGCGTGAAGAAAGCGGCGCTGTGGGCGCGGGAGTAGGGGGCCCGGCGGCCCGGGCGGCGGCGGCGGGATGGGGCTGCTGCTTATGATCCTGGCGTCGGCCGTGCTGGGCTCCTTCCTCACGCTGCTCACCCAGTTCCTGCTGCTGTACCGCAGACAGCCCGAGCCGCCGCCGGACGAGGCGGCCAGCGCAGGCGACGGCTTCCGCTACACCAAGCCGGTGCCGGGCCTGCCCCTGCGGGAGTACCTCTATGGCGGCGGCGGGACTGAGGAGCCCTCCAGCGGGGCGCCCGAGGGCGGTGCGACCCCGGCCTCCGAGACCCCCGCCCCGCCGATGCGGGAGACCTGCTACTTTCTCAACGCCACCATCCTGTTCCTGTTCCGGGAGCTGCGGGACACCGCGCTGACTCGCCGCTGGGTCACCAAGAAGATCAAGGTGGAGTTCGAGGAGCTGCTGCAGACCAAGACGGCAGGGCGCCTGCTGGAGGGGCTGAGCCTGCGGGACGTGTTCCTGGGCGAGACGGTGCCCTTCATCAAGACCATCCGGCTCGTGCGGCCCGTGGTAGCTTCGGCCACCGGGGAGCCCGACGGCCCCGAGGGGGAGGCGCTGCCCGCCTCCTGCCCGGAGGAGCTGGCCTTCGAGGCGGAGGTGGAGTACAGCGGGGGCTTCCACCTGGCCATCGACGTGGACCTGGTTTTTGGCAAGTCCGCCTACCTGTTCGTCAAACTGTCCCGAGTGGTGGGGAGGCTGCGCTTCGTCCTCACCCGCGTGCCCTTCACCCACTGGTTCTTCTCCTTCGTGGAGGACCCGCTGATCGACTTCGAGGTGCGCTCCCAGTTTGAAGGGCGGCCCATGCCCCAACTCACCTCCATCATCGTCAACCAGCTCAAGAAAATCATCAAGCGCAAACACACGCTGCCGAATTACAAGATCAGGTGAGAGGGGGGCCGGGGCACCCACGGGGTCCGCAGGCGCGGGACCTGGCTGCGGGATCGGGGCCGGCCGGCGGCTGCTGCCTGCGGGGAGTGGGAAGGGCAGAGGCGTACTTGTAACCCCAGCCCCTGTTTCCCCAGGACCAGGGACCTAGGCAAAGGCAAGTAATGGACACTTTGCCTCCGAACCTTTCCTTGTGTTCGTGGGCACTCCTGATGCTGTCAGCAGCGCATTGATAATGGAAGTATATTGATAATTATCCCCAGAAGTCGCCTCTGGGACTGTTGAGAAACTTCCTGTGCGTACTTGCTGCAAGAAGGGCCATGTCATTGGCTTTGCAGCAAGCCCTGGGCCACGTTGAGAAATTGTTCCTGGACACAGGACAAGGCATGAAGGTGTGCTTTTAGCCCAGGTCTGTTCTATTTTGCCATCTCCAACCACTTTTGCTTTGATGCATTGGCAACTTTGAGGGCAAAGGTAGTAGCCATAGCAAAGGAATACTTTCCGCAGCAAATTGGGAAGGAGTTGGGAGCCCGTAGATAGTGTGTGGATCCCTGCATTTTGAATTACTGTCATCTTCCCTTTGGGGGTAGCCTGTGTGGTACAGACCCAGAATGGGCCCCTCAAGTGTCTATTCTCTGGCTGTTAAGTTCCTTACTCAGTACTTAAAGTCACCCTTCAGATAGTATTTTAATGATGTAGTGATTTTAATTTTTTAGAGCCTTCCTGCATGTAATGGCTTATTTTTACGTAATATACTGTTTTGGTTAATGTATGAGTTTTCTTTTACTATCACAGGAGAAATGGAAGGGTAAAGAAAGTTTTGTAGGACTATGGGCTTCATCCACTTTAGTGGATGGCAAAGTTTGTGGTTAGAGTGGGAAAAAAACATGGCTGTTTCTTTTAAAAGCTGAATATTAAATTTCTCTTCATATCCTCCCTTAGTTTTGTGTTTATTAATAAAGGCTTTTGGATTTTACTCTTTATTATAAAATTATTTCAGTTTTGTAGTAGCTTTACCTAATGCCCTTTAGAGGAGGCTGAATAGTTCTGGATCACTACCGCAAGCTCAAGCCAGATAATCCAGAAATATTGTGAATTTGGAATGGCTGTTGACTTGAGTATGTAGCAGACTTGTTTAAGCTAATAGCACAGTGACAAAATTGTTGGGTGGGAGAAATTTATTTTATAATGAAAATTTTCCAATAGATTTGCAGAAGATGGTAAACTAATCATTCATTGTTTGCTTTCTGGTTTTCTGAAATAGATCATACTTTATGAAACCTACTTTTAAGTTGTGGAATATAAGTGACTAAATTATAAATGAGTGTTTAAGCAGTGAGGTGTTTATTTATAGCCGTGTGTTGCTGAGAAAGTAAGGAGAAAAAGTTGTTACAGATTTTATAATCACAACTTTAATACTGATGTTTTCTAGAGCCTTCGGGTGATAAAATTTGAGTAGGTTTTTATTATTTGGGGCTTATTTGCAGATAGTCATTGGTGATAAGATTGCATATCATTTTGAGAATTTTTTAAAATGTAGATTTGGAATTCAATTATATCTGAAGCAATGAATAAGAGTTATGGAGCCACTGAGAAGTTCATTACTTTGAATAAGCTTTATCATTGAAGAAGAACACTATTTATTTTAAGTATGGCAAAATTGTCTTTCATTTACTGTATACAGAAGGATTTTAAAGAAAGCAGGACATACCCAGGTTTGGTGGTGTACATCTATAATCCCAGCACCTTAGAAGGCTGAGGCAAGAGATTGATCACATGTTCCAGGACAGCCTGCATAGTTTAAGGAGACCCTCACCAACTTAGTGAGACCTTGTCTCTCTCTCTCTGCCCACCCCTACCCCCACACATGAGATTTTTTTAAAAGGTTGGGAGTGAATTTAATGGTAGAGTGCCCCAGGGTTAATCCCCAGTACTTCCCTCCTCCTCCAAGTACAACATAAGTTTGATTGTTATTTTAACTTTAAACCTTCAGCATTAAATGATCATGCCTGAAAATATACACGTCTGTGCCCTTTTTATTAGAGGGCATCTTATTGATCAGTAAGTAAATACTGCACTGACTGCATCACTCAGTCTGCAGGTATTTATTAGACTCCTGCAATATGCTTATTATTCTATGTGCTAGGGCTTTAATACTAAATAGATATAGGCTCAACTCTCAGAGTCTAGAATTCAGTGAGTTGAATTACCTGTACTTGATAAGATTTAAGGTTGAGTGGGATTGATGGGATTGAAGTAACTGGGGAAATTGATTTTTGCTTAGTGAAAGAAAAATAGAAGTGTAGGAATGAAAAAGGTGACCTCAGAAAGTATTAACTTCTCTTTTTTTGTGTGTACCTGCTCTGCAAGAAGTGTTTTAAACTGGTGATTTAAAGAGAATAAATTACAGTGCATCTAAGATGTATTACAGTTCTCACTATGGGAATTAAATTAGCCTAGTGTTATCCTATTTTATAGATGAGAGGAGTGAAGCTCAGAGTAGTTTAATAACCTGTGTAAAGTCACACAGCTTTCAGGTGGTGAAATCTAGCTTTGAAGAAGTCAGACTGCCTTAAAAAAATTATATTGCATTGTTCTTAAGGGCTTAAAAATGTCGTCAATATAATATATATGGGGTATCTTTCCAAGTTAAGTGAGAACTCTATAAAGCTTATTTTTCCCTTAAATTGGAAATATTGAGAGGATCCTTTTAAAGTTAAACCATAAGATTAAATCTTTGAGTGCTACTCCACATAGCATTTTTTAAAATCCAGCAGATTGTGTTTCCAAAAGAAGGTCTTGCTAGTTTATCCATTTTAGCCATCTAATCTTCTTAGTAGAGCTAAAGCAGTAAAGAAAATTGTATTGAATCTTGGGTCCTCTGGCATTTTTAATCATTACATAACAGAAATATCTTGCCAGATAATATTGTTGTCACTTCTTCCCCCTTTACTTTTCCTTTTTCATGTTGCTTAATTGAAATGTCCTATCAGGACTGCCAGTTCCTGATATTTCACCTAGAGATGCTAAAGTAGTTCAAGTAGTTGCCTCCTAAGGATCTGGCTGATCGACACTTCATTTTACCTAACATATTTGGTTTATAAAATACTAACTTTTAAACAAATCTATAGAAAATGTGGTTTCCAATTTATTGAAGTTAGGTGTTTCTTGATCCAGTCATGTCAATGATAACTTTTGTTTTTTTTTCCCTTAAAATGTATACTAAAATGGTATATTAAAGGTATATATTAAATATATATATATATATTAAATGGTATATATTAATGGTATATTGAAAAAAATTAACCCCAAAATTCATCTTCAAGTGGGAAAGATTACTGGTGGTATTTTTTAGTATGTGTTGAGCCTGTCTTCATTGTGAAATCTGAGTATTAGTCCTGGAGTGAGGAGGGCTTTTGGGGGTTTTAGGAGTCACATATTTGGGATTCTTACTGATGCTTCTGTTTGTACAGTATTCTTTCCCTGCAGCTTGTATTGGTTGCATATTGGAAGGTCAAATTCAGTTTGTATATACTTGTTACATAGCCTGCACTGTTTTGGGTTTGATTTTTAATTGCTAACAGTAAAAAATGGAAGATTTCACAGGATTTGATTTTTTGACTTCTGTTAGGAAAAACTGAGGTATCTTGTACCAGGTCTGCATTCCTTACAGCTAGCAATAGGATGAGAAAGGATCTGTAGTAGCAGGTTGGAGCAGGGGAGGAGCCTGTAAGCTCCTGCAGGTAGTTTACAGTCCCCATGAACTTGCCTCATTTGACTACTGGTACTTGCCTAGCCTGGAGTTAGACCCTTATTGGAAGAGTAATAATGGGAAGATCTAATAGATAGGAAAGATAGATTTTTTCCTTTAAATTTTATTTATTTATTTATTTATTTATTCTAATTATATGTGAAAGCAGAATGCATTTTGATTCATTGTACACAATTGCAGCACATCTTTTCATTTCTCTGGTTGTATATGATATAGGGTGGCGCCATATGTACAGTCATGCATGTACCTAGGGTAATGATATTTATCTCATTCCACCATCTTTCCAGCCCCCATGCTTCCTCTCCTCCTCTCCTTCCCCTTTGCCCATTCATAGTTCCTCCATTTTTCCCATCACCCCTCCCCCAATCCCATTATGGATCAGCATCCACTTCTCAGAGAGAACATTTGGCCTTTGGTGTTTTGGGATTGGCTTACTTTGGTTAGCATGATATTCTCCAACTCCATCCATTTACCTGCAAATGCCATAATTTTATTATTTTAATGCTGAATAATATTCCATTGTGTATATATAGCACAGTTTCTTTATCCATTCATCTATTGAAGGGCTTCTAGGTTGGTTCCACAATTTAGCTATTGTGATGTAAACATTGATGTGGCTGCATTACTATAATATGCTGATTTTAAGTCATTTGGGTATATACCAAGGAATGGGAGAGCTGGGTCAAATGGTGGTTCCATTCCAGGTTTTCTAAGGAATCTCCATACTGCTTTCCAGATTAGCTGTACCAATTTGCAGTCCCACCAGCAATGTATGAGTGTGCCTATTCTGCCACATCCTTGCCAACACTTATTGTTGTTTGTATTCTAACCCCTCTTTAACTATCTTGGAACGGATTTTCATTGATTAATTTTATTTTAAAAGATAGTGTTAGGGCTGGGGTGGTGGCTCAGTGGTAGAGTGCTTGTCTAGCATGCATGAGGCACTGGGTTCGATCCTCGGCACCACATAAAAACAAACTCATGTATCCACCTAAAACTAAAGATACATACATAAATAAATATTTTTTTTTAAAAAAGATGGTGTCTATATAATGCTGAATTTTAAAGACTTATTTCCGCCAGAAACTCAAAATAAAACAAAAAAATTCCTTGAAATATTTCCACTTTTCTGTCATGTCATTATAGCAAACAAATGGTGGCTGATTTTTRCTTGGATTTGGTGGATATTTTTCGTTAGTTTTTCATTAGTTAACTGTATAACTTTGA